TTGAAAGCGCATCGGGCCAACCATTTGGTTGAACGTTCTCCTCTATCAGTTATCGATGTTCTTGTAGTACTGGCCCTGTCTGCGTTAGAGAGGACCTTTCTGTATTAAAATACTAGAAAGTGTGCATCTAGGAAGTTGGTGAATAGGATCTATTTTAGTATTGACCATGTAATCATTGACTATTCCAGCTGTGTTCTTTGTTATTTGATAATGATGACACAAGTATTTTATTAATAAATTTTAAATTTCAAAAAACAGGTCGTCATTGAATACAAGAAAATAGAGATTGTAATTTTATTTATCACATTTATAAATATTAATATTTACAAAGACAAATGATTAATAAATAAATAAGAATTGACTAAATAATGGCTTAAAACTAGTGTTCAATATTAAATAACTTATAAGAGAATTGCTATGAAATTTTACCAACAATTCTGACTAATGAAAAAATCTCATGAACTTATCAAATACTATCAGCTCCAGTCATCTAGTACCAAAGAATTCCTGTAATAAAGTGGAAAGTGGTTGAGCCTCGTCATCTAACCAGACTTGTAAATATTTAGATTGTTGCTATAAAGTTCATTTTAAAAAAGTTACTTTGCTAAAATCATTTTTGCAATAGTGACAAAATATTCTCAATCTAGTGTATATTTTAATAATATAATTCGCCAAGAAGAAATTTTTATAGCAAATCGCAAATTTAGGCAGATTTAGTTTCTTATTAGCACTTTAACGAGGCTTTAGTACGGTTTTTTGACAAGTATAAACAATTAGATACTTTGTCAAAAAACCTTGTTAATGGTGCTAGTAGTTATGAAAACTTCCTCTTGAAGATCTATATTATTAATATACACTAGATTGAGAATATTTTATCGCTATCACAAAAATGAACGATTTTAGCAAAGTATTTAATAGCAAAACCCATATAATCTTAGTCTGAATAATAGTTTTTACAGATCACAAATATTTCTGATATTTGATGAAATGGAACATATTGTAGTAGAAGATAAGCGCATGTTTCTTAAGCTACAGAATTAAGCCAATTATCAGTATCTAGTCAATTTGATTTCACGGAATATAAATTTCAGTGTTCAAGTTTTGGTGATGAATAATTTTTTTTTTTTTGAAAATGAAAAGATGATAATAATTTGAATAATTTGAAATAATGCTCTAAACTATTTTAACATTTGTTCATCAATGTTTCTTTTATAAAAAATACAAAATTTTTTATCCAATGTTTGTTTTCTTCAAGCCAATTCTCCTTCTTCTTAATAACTTTTCTAAAGGTTTTATTGCCAATTATATTCCTTTGATTGATATAGAATAATCCAAGGTTGACTGCTTGCATTTTAATTTCTTTTAAATGAGCGTTATAATTAAAATGATGAAGATGATTGAATAGATTTGCTAAATTTTTTCGTTGTAAATTATTTATCTCCAGGTTATTATTACATAGTGGATCTATTTCTTTCTCCAAATAGCAATTAAATGATTTAACTAAGATTTTTTTTTGTTTATCCTTAATTGTGAAATCATGAAAGTGTTCTATCGAAAGACTTAATCTTTTTATGTCATTCTTAAGATCGCTTAAGGATTCTATCTGAAGTTCATTTATATCTTCATTTAGTTGATCTTTAACTAATGATTTATTGACATCCTCACTATGCATAAAATAATAAAGCATTAAGAATATTGCAAAGTAAAAAGTTTTTTTCACGATTTTTAGATTTAAATTAGTTAAAAATTTTTTTATTTTAAATAAAAAAGAGGAAATTGTAGTATTGAAGTAAGAAA